GGGAGAGGGAGAAGCAGGCTTCCCGCCGAGCAAGGAGCCCGATGCGGGACTCGATCCCCGGACCCCAGGATCATGACCTGAGCCGAAGGCAGACGCTTAACGACTGAGCCACCCAGGCGCCCCTATAAAGACTTTAGAAAAGAGTTCTCTTATTGCTCCCACATCTCTGTGTCCCCGGTCCCTGTGTGTCATTTCATAATTCCTCTGCCTTATGTTGACTTTTCCAAGGCTTTGCCCCTCCCTGATGTTAGCGACTCCAGAGGGAGTCTCAGAAGGTGACAGAAGCACTGCTCAGTGCCCCTCGTGTTTTGTGAGCGCGTCTCTCACTTGCCACATCAAAGCACGTCATCCCCGCAGAGTAAGAATTGTGTCAGCAAATACTTATCGAACAGGTATGCCAGTGACTTTCCAAGCACTCCGAGTGCATTTTTCATACATGGTCATTAAAACCAAAACAGAAACTGTTCATTGGGTCTCCTTCTCACCCTTACTTTCCAGAAGAGGAAGGTGAAACATGTTCTAAACAAGTCACATGACCAGTGCCACACACCCAGTCATTCTAACCCAGGCAGTTCAGAACCCGAGATGTTCACCCGCACTGCTCTTAAAACCTTAAGTCCTTCCATTGTCCTGTCTACCTCAAGGTCAGCCTCCACCCGGTCATATTCCTTCACGCTTCCTCCATTGAGTGGCTCCAGTGGGTTGGCCGTGGATGCAGACAACTGTCCATTGTTCAGAAAAGGGGAATGCACCAGAAGGCTCCGGCCAGGCGGGCGCCCGCCGGTGACTGCTGGGAAGGCAGAGCCGGCCTTCGCACAGCCCACTGGGGTCTGACTGCCAGCCCTGGCTCAAGAGACGGACGCCAGGTGGCACCTTCTGGGGACTGACTCCATAGGGAAGCTTCCGCTTTGCCAAATATACATCTTCTCAGGGCTCACATGAAGTGAGGGGTGGTGACTGGTGGTGGTTGCTGTCCTTCTTGTTTCAATGCGCTCATGGTGGAAATTTCCATAGTAGAAGCAGAAATAACTGGTACACTCTGAGCACCGTGCAACTTTCTCACAGCCAGCCCCGGATGCCTGGGACGCCTTGTTATCCAGTCCCGTGGAAGGACAGCTGGGCCATAGCAGGTGGATTCAATAACCTACGTGTGCGCGGGGGTCACTGCGGGGGAATCCAGACCCAGCTCCAGCCGACAGAACAGCCCGTTCTCTGCCAAGCACACAGCACGGCCAACCCTTCAAGATGCCTGCAGGACAAGAGAATTTAAACCAGAAATCTGTCTTAAAAGAGCTGGCATATCCTGTGAGGTTTTTAGAGTAGAACCATTGATTCTGAGCATTTTTCCAGGCCAGGGCCGGGTGGCTCTGCACTGGGCCTTCTTTTGTCACGTGAATGTTAACAGTCTAAGCTAAAGCCACGTCGATACATGCATTAACCACAGAGGACCTTGACCGCCAAAGAAAACATTTGCTTCCCACATAGCCCTGTGCTTTCAGAGGCTTCAAAGCCAAGGAAAATGTAACACGGCCAGCTGGTGTCTCCCCTTCCAGAGCCGCAGGGCTTCTAAATTGAGCTCTGGGTCTTCTCTTCCTCATAACCGTGGCAATAAGAGGCTCCAGATTTTCCCTTTGAAATTTTCTCATGGATTCCCCAAGGGAAAAAAAAAAAACCTCCTAAGTGTTTTAGAAGTTGTCTTTGCAGGACTCTGGCAGGATGGCCTCAGCTCCTGTGCAGCCTGAGGGGCCCTCTCCCGGGGACCTAGGCTCAGTGTGTGGCCGTGACAGGCCACCAGGGAGAAGTGTTCTCCGTGTCTAAGACCAGCACTTGTGGCCCGGGAGGCCGTGTGGCTAAGATGCGTGGCAGGTTCAACAATACGATACAACAAGACGTGCTTGTATTCGTCATGCCTCTGTCTCTACCTTAAACACTTTTTATTTGCTGCTTTATTTCTAAATACCAAAATCTACATAAGACATACTTGAGGTCATCCTACCCAAATGCTTAAGTTTTCCCAGTACCTAGAAAGGTTTTAATTTGCTTAAAATGGTGCTAGTGAAAAGGGCCTGAGTGCCTGCTCTGTGCTCAGGGTCTTGGTGCTCGGGATACAGAGGTGAGAAGTTCACGGTCTCAGGCAGGTAGGTGTGCGACAGTAACAGCGATCGCCTGAGGTATCAGTGCTCACCGGGCGCCTTGGCAGACTGCAGATGGACGTTCGGGAGTGAACGTGGGGAGCCCCAAGGCCTCTGGTGGGAGGGGCTTCCAGGGTGGGTGGGGAAGGAGCAGGGAGGTTACCAGGTTGGTTGACTGAGCCACAGTCAACAGACCACCAGTCCCCAAAGGGGACATCAAGTCCCAGAGGACATGGCCTGCTCCTCGAGCAGAGAGATGCTCTGGATTGTTGAAGCGTGAGTGAGTGGCTAGACCCTGAGGGCTTGGCATGGGCAGAGCGGGAGGCCCAGTGATCTGGGAATTGACCCCATGGGTCTCAGCAAAGGGCTGGGTGCTGACGCAGAGCACAGTGGAGGATAATTCACTTGATTGTCTTTTTCTAGATAGAAAGCCTTCAGGCTCTGAAAGCAGAGCCATGCCACACCCATTGCGGAGCCTCTGGCTGCCTCCCTTTGGGCCAGTCTACTGCTCTAGGGTTCCTGAAGTCAACCAAATGCATCTGCTTGAGGGCTTCACTGAGGAATCCCCCTCCCCCCACACCCTTCACACCCCTGCCTACCCTTCTCTTCCTCTCTGCCAAGCCTGCAGCAACACCTGTCTGCCTGGCTGGACAGCACGGTGGCCCCAGACAATGAGAAAATCCCAGTGTCAGAAGATCTGCCTGTTCATTCCCTCTTGTGATGCTCCCTGTCCTCCTGATGACCTGGGTTGGGGAGATAATTAGGATATTCATCCCAGAGACTTTGCCCAACATGCATGGGAGTAACATAAAATAATGGGCCATACCGTGCAGAGAACTGATTATGTCAAACCCAAATTGAGTATAAGATTTTCCAATGAACCACAAAATAAATAACCACCAGGAATCAAAGTCTATAATAAGAAAATATATCTGACTCAGCCTTCAGACATCCTTGGTGCTAGGACTCCCAGCAAAGGACAGAGGTGTCGCTGGCGTTTGAAAACTGACCATCACTTCTCCCCGCCCCATCCCCCCACCCCCACCCCCAGCCTTTGACATTACGGGGACTTAGGAAATATGAGTCAGATATAAAAAAGTTGGCTTTTCATTAGCAGCCAGCTTGACCATGTTAGTATGCAGGACATGTGTGTCCTAGTTGGGACAATGTGACCCATGACTGCAAACAGGCTTCTGTGTTCAGGACCAGACTTAGTCCTGGAAGAGAAAGGGGGTTTCAGGCACTGGGCGTCCAGCATATCCAAGCATAAAAGGCTCACTTAAAATTTTCAGCCCGAGAATCAAGTTTAAGTGCCAACCCCAGGTTTGTGCGTTTGAACCTATGTGCAGAGACCACCCTCCATGCAGACCCTCTCCTCAGTTGGTCTCCTTGCTATTTCTCATCTTTATTTACTTATTTATATGTATTTTTTCGTGTAGAATTCACACCTTCTGAGAGGACAGGTTTCACAACCAGGTCGAAATTCCACATAAACAGAGATCTCCATCTTTCCGAGTGCAGGGTTCTGAGGTGTTTGTGCATTAAGTCAAACTAAAGACATTGCTTTTAGGGAAACTGAAAGAAATAAAGCTGCCACAAGCCCTGCTTTGCAGTGTGGGATGATCCGAAGCTGGGATTGTGGACCCCAGATTATAACAAGAAGTAGTTTAGAAAAAGTAGAGCTCATGTTTATGCACATTGTTTAAGAGACTCCAATTATTCAGAGTAAGTTCAGTCTAAACCCAGAATTAGCAGGGGTCCCAGGGAGACAGATTTAGCAAACGGTGACCCACGGCAAGTCGCTGTTGGCAAAGAT